CTRCTRAACATGGAAACTCTTAGGGGGGAAATTAAACCCAACGTAATTCCTAAAAACGTTTACCAAGAAGAATTCGTGAAGAGGTACAATGTTTTTTTAGAAAAGAGCCATCAAAATAAGAGGGAATTGGAAAATCTCCGCTGTCTTCTGCCATCAGTAATTCAAACACTTCATATTCCAACCSATGTGTGCAGCGTGTTAAGCGTTGGATCTGGGAATGGAGATGTTGACTTGGAAGTACTAAAAATCATAAGGGAAGCTTCTCAAAAAAAGGTGTACTGCCGAGCCATTGAGCCGTGTGAGTATTTTTTGAACATGTACAAGAAAACTCTTGAACACCTGGAACACATTGATGGCACCRAAGTTGATGTCAAYGAACCCAAAACATTTCGAGAGTACATGGCAGAGCCTAAGACTGAACGAGGCCTGTTTGACGTGGTGCATTTTATCCACTCTATTTACTACATGGATTTTGAAGAGGCTTTGACTCACTGCTACGAGAAAGAACTGGGAGAAAGGGGGATAATCATGTGTGTGGCAGGTAAGACTAGACCCTGACAGCAGGGTGTACTCGTGCCCTAAAGGTGTTGAAAAGTGCTGGCTATTTGGCACGATACACCAACCTTTATGACTTAAACAAATGTCATAATATATGCTCTTACACAGATGAATGTTTTGGAATAACAAAAGACCTCGAATATCAAAGAACTACTGTAAAAGCTACAGTAACTCCCGAGCAGTTAACTGTTCTACTATATGATTGTTTACAGCCGAGTTCGTTATGTGATATTTCGTATAGAGATCGGAGGGCGATCGGGAGACCCGAAGGCAAACTTCTGACTTGGAAAAAAAAAAATTATACGCGCTGCATTTTATGACTCGTGACCCGGCCTATAATTTTCCGCTCACTTGTGTATTGAGTATTATTATTTATTAATCGTCGAGTGTGTAGAGTTTGGGACGAAACTCTGCATGGGATCAATAAGGGTGAAGAGCGTGCACATGTTTTAGTTTAGATGCATTTTTTGTCATGATGATTCTTACGAGTAAATAGTATTGTAATTCATTGCAGCTTTTGACRACGACATCGTGCATGAGACTAAACGAAACGTCTCCAAGCTTACTTCAAATGGAAACATACTACAAGTCATCGAGAACAAGGGTTGGAAGTACCAGGAGTACAAAGACGAGTACTTGTTGGATGTAACAGAAATCATAAATGATCAGCAATCAGAGACTGGAAACTTTCTGCTGGATTTCTTCACTCATACGATTAATTTTCGTAACACCGTCAATCAGCCGAAGGTGAAAGAAATCCTGGATCTTATTGMCGACTTGTCGATWGATAAAGACRGAAAACGATTTTGCAAGAAGGTCGACAATTACACCTTCATATTTAAGTAAAAGATTGGTATGAAAAAACACGATATTCTATAGATTGTAGTTGTTAGATGTGACAGTAGTAAAAAGAATCACATTTTTTCTCTCTTGGACGCTAGTTATTTGTGCGTTGTTAGTATCACTGTGTTATAAAAGTATATGAAAAATGTTATCCAAGATTCATGTWATGTCGTACATTTAGTCAATAAAACTAGTAATTTTGTAGTGCAAACACGGTCACGGCATTATGTTTAAGAGGTCTTTGCAGCCCTTTCTCTATTRTTGCTTACGTTCAAGGCTTCAGTATTTAAATGGARCACCGCACACATTTCGTGAGCTGGTCCAATGCTACAGCATCATGGTTGGTCAGTTTAATTGTTTGTTTTTGTGCGAAAATGTTGCATTTCTGTCATTTCAGATGTAAGCTTTTCTATTCATTAATTTAAGCAAARCTATGTATTACTTCGCCTAAATGTCGTGTAAACATCATTTTTCTCTCCAGATCGTAAAACATTGTCACGTAAAAGCTTGGTTTCGACTCCAGGACCTCCATATAAGGCAACTACGAAGGTATATTCGCCGCTACGACTGCTTGTCGACGCCATGCCGAGCGTCTTCGTCTTTTTCCATATCATTTGAATAAAATGACGATTTGATGGGGTTAATTGTGGATACGAGAAACTATAGTCACTCGCTTCTCTATACCAGAGATTAACAGCTTTCTTGGCCAGTTCTTCGTACTTTTCAGGTTTAATATGTAGCTGTGCTATATTTTCTCCCTTCTCTTCATGTAAATCTTGTGAACCTATGTAATCCATGGCTGCTAGTGTATTTGCGAGGTCTTTGGCTCTTTTTGCAAGTGAATTCGACCAAACAAGAGGAGGAGAGTGATGCAACTTACGTAAACGATTATGAGCATGTAGGCTTTCTTCGCGCCATTTGTCTGTAGAGAAATGTACATCAAAGTTACAGGAAAAATGAAAGTCAAATGTTATTTGAGTTTATAATCTTACTCAGGTATTGTTTTCCCGAAACTCTGAATTTGGTGGGGTTTTTTAACAGAAATGTATGTTTTTGTGCCGTGTGCATGAATTAGAGCATGTTGGAGATATTTCGACCTAGCATTAAACTGCATTCATTTTATTGATTTCCAGTAACTGTACTTTTACAAATTAGCCATAAGCTTTCTCACTCTGGTTTGTACAGTTGTACCTGGGCATATATTCCGTATGCACGTCCTTGACTGGTAGAGTTCCCTACTTTCACATGGTAATGCTAAACACATTCTTGCTCTGATCTGAGTGCCTTGAGAACACGTGACTGAACACCTGGACCATCCATTCCAGTCTCCATATTTGGAAGGTATTCCTGAAAATAGTCACATTTTGTTCAACCAATCAAGTACTAGATTATACAGTCTTCAAAGGCTATGCCCCTCACGTGCATGCCTCATCCTTCAGACTTTGTAAACCTGTTTTCTTTGATGGTTCCAATGGATCACACACTTCCTTTCTCCATCATTTTCAATAGTCTCCTTCACGGTTACCTRCAAAGTGACCATGTTGAAAGGTAGCCGTGCCTTTACATCGAAGCGAGACAACCGTTGAGAGTGCAATGAAACCTGTGAATAGTTGTCTGTAGGTGTGAAAGAAGGTTTCTATCATTTCTATCATGGCAAAGGTAACCGTGAAGGAGACTATTAAATACCTGTATCMCTTCCCAATTTAGTTTTATCACTGTTCTTTCTAAGTTAATGCACGTTGATTGAATCATGTGTTTAATCTCACCATGTCTGTCTTCTCCTTCTACTGGATCCTGTGGTGTGGCTTCTGCATGTAGTTCATTCAGGAGGTGGTGGGTTTGATGAGGGAAGTTGTACAACCTTGCCATTCGTTCTTCTTCATTTCTTGCCATCATCATATTCTCAAAACTGTTCATTCTTTCCGTCATTTCCAGTGGATCCTCTGTAGCTACAGGGTTGCTAACAGAAAAAAAAAACTTAAACCAAGCCATCTTTTATTTGGCTTTCTGCCTGACTAAGAATGCAACATTGAAYAATCTGGTAAATRAATTTTTCCTGCATTGAACCACGTTTTACATACCTATTCAGAAGGACATGTTGCCTGGATGTACCAGACTCTGATAATGGCTTAGTTTTTTTCARCTTCTTTCTTCGGTMYTTATGTACGTGTTTCAGTCTATAAACGGGTATAGGCTTATGGTCTTCATCGATACGCTGTTGATCATGTGCTTCCTTGTCCTGTGAATTTGTGTCTTTATCTTTGTCATTTTCGCTGTTTTCTTTTTGAGATTTCTCTAGCTTTGTTTTATCAGAATCAGATGTAGGATGTGTTTCTTGATTAGAAATCCCATCGTTGTCATTCGTTACTCTTATTCTGGGTTCTTCCTCTTTTCTTCCTGCTTCATCCTTAGCAGAAGTAGAAGACTCATCTTGTGGGTTGTCTACATCGCCGTCTGTTATTTTAATGGCAGGTTCATCTTTATCATTTTTASCTGGACTTTCTGCAGTATCTGGAATGTTACTGGAAAAAAACTCCTTGGTGTCCAAACCATTATGTTTATTTCCCATTCCAAATTCGTTCTCATTATCATATTCATCCAGGCTATAAGCGCTGTTTATGATCTTTTGATCAGCATCACTTAATACATCATCTCCAGTTAAATTGTCACTTTTGCTGTCAGTGTCTTTAGTATTACTATCTTCTTTATKACTGTCTTGTATTTGCTTGTCAAGTCGTATAGGRTCATCATTCGTTGGGTTATCTAAATCCTCACCATCAGCAAAGAACGCTTTGCTGTCCTTATTTGGCATGACATTGTATCTATTGGGGTCATGCATCAGCCAATCAGCTGCTTCTTTGTTGCTTTGAAAATCAGCCTTGGTTTCAATGTTGTATTCAGGCATATCATCTTTCATGTTATACCTGGTATCGTCTGGGTCGTCGTAGTTGTAGGTGTTGTCCTTCTCAGAAGGATTGTTTTCTGTGGCAATGATGGGTTTTGGAAGCTTTTTCCTACTCTCATATTCAATAGTGGCATCGAGAGGGTATGGGTCCTCTACACCGTTCTGTTGTAGCATCACTGAAAGACAGTAAAATACACTTTATAACTAATGTCATGCATCTCTCCTGTAACCGCGTCTTACTTCGTTCTTGCTGTGTTTCTTCTAGTAAAGTAGGTTTAAGTGATTCAGCCAGACCTTTGACATCATGYGGGTCAAAGTGTGCCCCAAGAGTGACCAGCTCTATKCATGCAATAGGATTAGCGATAAGTCAAGTACAAGTCATTATAAACGCGAKTGTTACCTTCCAGTGGCTTTCCTTTATGTAGCAGTTCTATTCTACGTTTGTGCGTCTTTGTTGCTATTCATATCATGCAGGGAATAAAGACGATGATTGCTTAATAATTATTCTAACCATSCTATCGGTTTTTAAATCTCTAGTTTACTATCAGAATTCAGTTTTCTTATTATTAGTTAAAAAGAGGAAGTAGATAGCTTGSGTCACTCTATTTTTAGTAGTTATAGTATCATTCAATTGTTAAATCTAYCAAATGTTAATCTAATATATATGTCTATACCTCCATACGGGTATACSGCTAGTACCAAGATCACTAAGACAGTATGCATCATGACGTTGTCGCCTTTGTTCAATGTTGCCTGGAAAACAGCAAATGGTATTAAGCCACGTGATTTATACTATTAGTGAAAATTAGTAAAAAATATTTGCGCATTCAATATGCTGAGATTTTAGTCTTCTGGAGTTAACAACGCCTTTTAACAACGCTTTTTGACGCTGATCGATCGTGTAAACGTTTATCAACCCCATGTAACATGTAGTCATCAACAAATATTGTTCCGATCGGATTTGACAAGGATTTCACTGGTTCTCTCTTCGCTATGACTCAGTCGTTAATTGTGGACTTTTTAACCTTCTCAGTTTTCTATCGTTTCTATTATTCAAACATATATTTCACTTTCCTATATTTTATTCATTATTCAGGTTTCTCMATTATGGTAATTAATATCTAGGAAGGAGTAAGAACCCTAAAAACTGTTATACAGATCTCTACAAAGATATGATCAGCGTTGTACTTGTTAGATATTATAAAGACGTAGTAGTTTGTACCTTTTCTGCTAGTGTTATTTATCTAAAACAAGCGTTTCGGAAGACGACTTACCCAAGAGTATCATAATTACAAACTCACCTCGAGGCAGCCCCAAACTCCTTCCTCAAACCATTAATTCGATTGACCCAATTACAAATCAAAATTAATTTGCTGCAATCAATATTTTCATAAAGGGATTGTATTCTGCCATATATTTTGACTTGGTTGGTCTCTTAATAATTAAAGAGGTTGGTGTCCAGTGTCCTCTTTACGTCAGGTGAACAATGCAACCACCTTCAAACGACTGGTCATCGATTGTGTCTCGATTGATACCAGTGACTAAAACTAACCATAGAGATTAAAGCCTTCAGTGAATTATACTAGAAGTCGACTGGTCATCGATTGATAATTGAATCGATTGATTAACCGTTTGTAAGATAATGGATAGCAATAACATATAGACCACCGATGCGCTTTAACAAGTGTTAAATGGTCACATGGTACCAAATCCGCCATACTAGATGGCAAACTGAGAATGTCAACTCTCGCTATTAGCTAATTTAGTGTCCGCAGTAGCGAGAGTCCGTAGTGAGTAACGAGAGTTACTTTTAGTCTTTTCTTTACCGGGGATTCAGTATTTTACTGTCCGCAATATCGATGTGTCCGTTGTAGCGGTGTGTCTGTAAGAAGAGTTGACAGTAGTTGTTTTTTTTAGGCTGTTACAACTTGACTAGTAGTACTTTATCCCAGACTCCTAACGATTCCCAAAATCGATCCGGCCGCGTTTTCATTTTTGCTTGTTTTTGTTTTTGTTTTTGTTTTCGACCATGTTTATTTGTTTGTTTGTTTTCGTCTACGATACATGCTCGTATCCACGTTGCATTTTAATATATTGCTATGGACTTGGCATCTTGAATTCATTTTTGTTTTCAGCATCGCTAAGGAAGTGCCCGTCATTTTCCATGTAGCAATTTACAGTTTTTCTTAGTGTCTGAAGGTGCTTTTAATTACCCGTCACAGCTGGTAATAATGAACTTGAGGAAACATAATTTCAAGAAAASATTTCAATAAGATGAAACGGTTGAACAGAATTCTTTGCTTTGTTTTTGMTATCCTCTTGATCTTCAATTTCACACACTTGAAARACTTGCATCACCCCCTACTTTGAAATATTGGCCTCAAGACTATGAGATAGGAAATTACAAATGAATGAATGCATTACTGAATTCTAGGATTGATGGTAGAAGCAGGTGCATGAATAATTCCCTTATTTTTAGAATACAAGACACTTTCATTCGTTGTGTCGTTTTATCAAAAATCAGAAAGACATGTACTTGTCACTTCAATGCTTGCTTTTCATTTCATAAACAAAACTTGATCGTTAGCATAGACAGAAAACCCCGGAAATTAGTCGTTTAGGAAGTTAAACAAACTGGCTTCCAAGAAAAATAATACAATAAATGAAACAGTAGAAAACAATGACCAAACGTCAAAATAGTAGACTAAAAACAATATCGGAAACGCAGAGTGTGAAGGAAATGAAATTATTTCAATATATCGGATTGCGTTTTGCAGATATAAATCATCAACTGGAACGATTTAAGACAAGTATAATTTTATATCTAAATAGTAATCAAACGAGTGGATTTTCTTCGATATTGCTTTCCAAGTTACTGTATTTAAAGGATGACGTCATAATTATACGCAAGCAAGCAGGATAAAGGGCCATTCACACAGAGATTGGTTGAGGTGGTTTAAGGATTCTTAATCTACCATTAAAACAGCTTGTCAAACACATTTCTTCTGAGCAATAGCCGACTTATTCGGAATTGGTTTCTCTAACTGTGAGGTGTGAATAATGGTCTAATCTCAAGTGGAACCAATGCCAATCGACAGTCGACTGTACATTTTGTACATTTAAAGGGTATGTGCATTAGCCGATGTTAGCACTGAAGAATTATCAGTGAGGTTTACCCGTTCTTCAGGCTGGTGAACTTGATGTAAAGAGATTATCAACAGATCTTTGCTTATAATCTAGTTAGGTGTGAATACTAATTCCTTTTCCATTTGTTTATCTTTTCGATAAGATCATTCTTTTTTTTTTCGCTTATTTATATATTCTATTTATTTTACATTATTATTTAGATCAGCTAATAACCAAGAWTGTGAATTTATTCCAATACTATGGCAACAGCGACCCGTGTTTAAAAAATGTAAAGAGRCTGCTGTGTCGTTTATTTCCAGACGTTTACATGAACATGGAGCTTCTACTGACAATTGGTTGTTTATTGTTTATCTAGAAATATGAATACAAGCAYAAGTAACGGAACACATCATGAACATGAGAACCATAGCTATATCTATATCACCCAAGTGGTCTCCATTGTACTCAGCCTCGTTCTTGGTTTAATGGCTGCAGTATTTAACGGTCTTCTACTGTTCACCGTTTACAAAGATCCGCTGAATTGCTTCCGGAGACGCGCATCCATTGTGTTTATTGYAGGGTTGGCAATCAGTGATTTTCTGGCAGGAATCTTTATTCAACCAATCTACGTGATTTCACTGATATTTGCGATTACTACAGGAAAGGTTGACCTTCTACATAACATTGCTTTTCTTGGTTCACATGTTGGCGGTAAAGTGTCTATTCTAACATTGGTCGTACTCTCAGTTGATCGTCTACTGGCCATTACTTTACCATGGAAGTATAGTCACGTTGTYACACACAAAAGGGCTGCTCTTACAAACWTTGTTATCTGGATCACGGTGGCTGCGTTTGAAGCCAGTCATTCCTTTCCTTCAATAGAGAGACTGTTGCACAAGATTGATTTGCACCTGCAGACTACAGTCCCTATCATAGGTCTTCTCGTGATATTTACAGCTACATATCTTTCATTCAGAAAACATGCGAGAAGCAAGGTGTTTGCGCACACACTTCAAACCCGTTCATCTCGAAATCAAGTTCGTAACCTTCAATTGGAGAAGAAGATGATGATGACGATTTTGCTGATTTTATTGGTAGTTCTAGTTTCACTTTTACCATATTTAATTGTGCAGCAAATTGGTGATAATTGTAACCATCATAATCATCATGATGAAAGCCATGATGAATGTGATAAAAGTAAAGCAGTTCAAGTAGTCGATATAATATCAATTAGTTTATTGTGTGTTAGTTGTGCAATGAATCCAATACTGTATGGTTGGCGTGTTCCTCATTTTCGTCAGTCACTCAAAATGGTTGCCATTAACAGTAACCTGCGAGTTTTTACGAGAGAGCTTTCAGTACCATCGACTACATCTAACCGACGGTAAATCAGCAGCTCAAGATGAATGTCTTGAAATCCTGTAAAACGTCATTCATAATATAGGCCTATGATATTCAAGATGGCCACAGATACAATGCTCTCTTGGGCAATAAACGGATAAAATGGACGGAAAAAATAGCTTGACAATAGAAATGAAATTTGAAATCTTATTTAGCGAGAGCCAGAGAAATTTAGAACAATTTCCATGTTGCACTGGACAGAAATTATTTACTGTATCAAATCCATACCTATAGGACAAGAAATATGAACTGGTAATGTATTTGTATATAATGTGATTTTCACATGTGATCTGTTATTTCATTGAAGTTATATGATAAAATGTTATTTGTTAGCGCCGGTCAGTATTAGTGCTAATCATTGTAAAGGAAAAAAAAGTATAATTGCAGTCTGTCGAATGTAAAAATGCCATATATGGTAYAGCTTGATTCTTCAACTTGCTTTCATTTCCTTTTCCATTCCCTTTTCCTAAAAAAAGAAATCAAAACTTTACTTTGAGTCAAACACTATAAATTTTTTTGGAATTGTTTTTTTTGTGATTGGATCGAGAATGGCTGATTGACAGTTAACATAGTGATGCTACGTTGTTTGTACCAGCTGAGCATAACAGCTTTAGTCGCACTACAATATTTTTTACTGATATTTTTGTTATTATTATTTGTCACTGTGGAACGTAAGCTGGAATCCTAAAACTTCAACTCATATACTTTTTGACAAGTAAGTCACTGTATGCAATTATGATCTATTGCTGGAAATGTTCAAAATTTCAACAACAACAACAAAAATAAAAAAAAACAACCTTGATGCAGACTTGGGTGATCGTTAGTCCCAACGTAAGGCRTAAATTTAAAGTTTTGTGAATTGGGTTTCCTGTGTATATTTTGAAACAAAAGGCCTGGTTCTATAGTTACAGCCGAGAAAACGCTAACATCGAACATGGCGGGATATGAATCGGAAAACCGTTTCAAAAAATCGTTCAATAACAAATACCCAGGGCTTACTCAAGAGACAGAGGGTAGATGGAAAGGTCCTTTCTGTTTTATCCAATCGGCTGATACACAACTTGGTCTCATAGACTCTTGGAACGAGGTGGCAGAAGAAGAACAGACCTGGGATAAAGAAATTATTTTAACAAAAAAAGCCATCGCTGCAGCCAACATTTTAACGCCTAAACCTCGCTTTTTCATCGTTTGTGGAGACCTTGTAAATGCAGTTCCCACCCATAGGTATAATGATCAGCAAGTGGCTGATTTTAAGAAGGTTTTCCAAGAGTTAGACCCGGCGATCCCGCTTATTTGTGTGTGTGGGAATCATGATGTCGGAGATTCACCGACCCACAAATCTGTACAGAAATACAGAAGTAATTTTGGCGATGATTACTTTACATTTTGGACTGGAGGTAAAAATCCTGACTTTTTTATACTTTAATTCCATTACTCTCCTACTCCAAGAAATCACTGCTTTTGAACATTTGCTAACCTTATAATTCTAGTCGGTCACTACTGATTTCTATTTTCTCGTATTTTGAATAGTTTGAACACGTTAATTTGCTTTTCAATGTTAATAGTTTAGGAAATTAATCACAATCAATTTTACCAAGTTATGTTAAAGGTGTTTGACTGATCATTTTACATTCTTAGATTTAGAACATCGCTAACTCTTTGATAACAGTCCATAAGGTTTTGGCTGTTTTTATTTAAATGAAGAAAATTTATGCAGCTCTGTATTGACTGTAATAGAAATTCAATGATTTTGTTATCTGTCAGTTTATGGAAATTCAATGAATTAGGAAGAAGTTTATTTAAAAACATCATTTAAATAATTAATAGTTTTAATGATAATAACAATGAAAATAATGATAAATCTTATTTGATAGATATTTACATTAATAAAGCTTTAAATATAGAGATAAATTATATCAATAAATTACATTATATTGTCCATAAAAAATGAAAATAATTCTAAATGAATATAAATTATAAAAATATTAAATGCATTTTTAAATTGAATGCTGTAATGACATTGTATTGTTGATTTAGGAGTCTTCTTCATTGTCATAAACTCGCAATATTTCAAAGATGGGAGTCAAGTTGAAGACATCACAAAGCAACAAGAAGATTGGCTGGATGAGCAACTACAACTGGCCAAGACAGTCAATGCAAAACATATTGTTGTGTTTCAACATATTCCTTGGTTTTTAAAAAATGTCGATGAGGAGGATGACTACTTCAACATTAACAAGGATGTCAGGAAAAAAATGTTACAAAAACTCAAGAAAGCAGGGGTTAAGTATGTGTTTGCGGGCCATTATCATCGTAATGCAGGTGGTATTTATGATGGTGATGTTGAAATGGTTGTTACAAGTGCTATTGGGTTACAGATTAGTCATGACAAAGATTCTGGGATGAGAATCGTTAGTGTGTTGGAAGATAAGATTTCTCATGAGTATTACGAACTGGATAAAGTTCCTAAAATGATTGATCTGTGAATCTACATGAATATATTAAGGGAATGAGGTGTTTATCTTGCTGCCACATACAACCAAGGCACAGATTGGATTGGGTAACCCATTGCATTGGACACTACAACCCAACATCAACTTATACAAACTCTTGTAAGTTGACAGGAACCAATCCAAAAAAATGAAATCTATATATAATTGTGTAAACATAGTATATAAAAACACATACAAAATATTAGACGAATTATCACAGAAATAATTAATTATATTAATGATCAAGTTTAAAGCAGCAAAAGGTGCTTAATTTTACCTCACATTGGCACACCCTTATCACTATATAGTAAGTTAACTCGTTTACAAACTATTTTCAATTTCCTCAATCAAGACATAGTGCATGTTTATAATTGTGTTGGCATGATAACATCATATGCTAAAAATGATGAAAATGATGTTCATTATCAATTTTGTAAACTTAGTAATCATATACACATACATGTATAACACACAGGAGACATTCTATCKAAACTATTCTAGTTCCCTTTGTTATATAAAATAATATATAATAATAATGTCCATCATGTTCCATGTTCAACTTCCTAYTGTATGACTCATATAACTTGCAAATCCTGTTGCACAATTACATTGTTATTCCAGATTATGTGTTCAATGGACACAAAATTCAAAGAAATATTATTCTACTTGTAACTGAAATTATGAAAATAAAATTCCTGACACCAGACTAAATTTATTCAATTAACTTTAATTAATTTTACCATAATACATTGTYATCTATATTCTATTTACTTTGKAGCATATAGRATGTGGCTGCTCAATTTAATGTGCGCATTGGATTGGATTTGTGATAGTATATCACATAGTATTATTATTGTGAATGTTGAAATTTTGCTTCATATATTTTACATATTCTATTTCATATTTCACATCTATTACAGAAAATAAGAAGTGTAAATGGAAGCTATTTCAGCGTTAATGAGATGCCAATCAAATATCAGGCAAGTTCCAGTAGAAAAGTGCAATCAAKAKWATAATACACCAAAAGMGGCTAGTAAATGTTAATGTCAATCAASTGTTGATGAAAGGCATTGATGGAAATCATTTTGTGAAGTGCTAAAGGATAAGCCAGTTAAGTGTCAATAAAGCCAATAAAGTGCCAACTGATAGAATTCAATTCATCAGACGTAAGTCATGCTGCTCTTTTTAGGAGAATCCTGAGGATTACAAATCGGTTCCTGAACTTTGCGTTTCCTTGGCAGCCTCTTCCTAATGGATGTTTTAAGTCGTCCAAAGGAGCTCTGTGCACGCTTGATTTCTCTACCTGTCGTGGCATATTTGGAATCTGATGGCTCAAAAGCCCCGGAAACGCGAACTATTGAATCGGCTTCCGCAAACGAACGGCTTCGTCGATTGACCATCTTCTCTGGACGATGGAAGAAGCCCTTGTATGCAACACATTGCTGATGTATTCTTTTTGCAGCYTGTTGTCCTCCAAGGCCATGAAATCGATAACAWATCGAGCCTCCATCTTTCTTTACATCGTTATAAAACAACACGTGGAATTTTCTGTTTTGACTATGCGTAGCCACCACTTCCTGCCAGGTTATTTCCAAAATAAGTTCACCGGGATCATTACACTCTTTGAATTCATACACTAATATTCCTCTCTCGTACACACCTAGTAGAACTCGAGCAGTTTCTTTGTTTGTAGCTCCTTTGTGAAGTGAAATACCATAGAACTTTAAGAAATCGTTGGCATGCTCTATGTAAGTCGTTGCAGCTTCTTCTGCAGTCATGCCAACATGTTTACGATGATGATGGTGTACCATTGCTTCGTATTTTGATTCCGTTATTTCCCCATCAGAGTTAATACCACAGGGAGGAACGAAGAGTCTATCTAATTCGTCTTGAATGTAGCCTCTTYGGTGTAATTTCGGGTTAAAATCGCCAATCCACAACTGAGTAAACAGACCTTCCAACATCGCATGTTGCTTAACTGGAACAGGCGTCAGATATTTCCCGCGCAAAAGGAGRTCTTTTATTTGCAAACAAATCAACCGTCGCGCTTTCTGTTCAACTTTGCGTGGAAACTTTGGAAAGAATCTCACTGCAAATTGAAARTGGTAGGGCTTTGATCTCTGAGATCTTATTTCTTGGCTTGTATCAAGCCAGTTAAGTTCACCGTCTTCCCAAGCAGTGTATTGTAACCCAAACAACTCCCTTTCACCAGTCAGCTCTAAATGGTCACATACGCGGTCAAGAAGCTCTTTTCCTTTGACTGCTTTAYGTTCAAATGTTGTTGTATATGTTGTATTATCTAAAAGCACCACTTGGCAGCTTAGTTTTCGTGAAGACTTTCGTATTTTCGAGCTTACAGAACGTGAAATCGGCATTTTCTTTCTGGAACACTTTATCGACTGCTTAGTGAACTGAGATACGACGTTTCCTTTCACTTTCGGATCGTCAAGGGAATATCCCGCTGACTCCTGAAAACCAATCTCTAGAAATAAGAGATATTGACGACGACTAAATTATGAAATGAACTCTGAATTTCGTCTTGATTGCTATCGTACAAATGTGTACAAAATRGCTGCCAGATCGAGTAAACAACTTGCAAGTGGAAAAGAAAGCCTTCTTTCGTAGTCGATATCCTTTCTAAATGAAGCACTGATCTTTCTAGTCTTTTAAAGTCTTTTTATAAGCAAGGATTTCGACAACTCCTTTACCTATTTTGGTAGTAACCGTCTGCTTAGAGCAGAGTCNAATACAAATCAACAGTATCATTTTTTTACATTTTATTCATAACCACCTCATCATAATCAATAATATATACATATAATACAAGTACCGATGYATTTAGAGAACTTCATTTAAGAGAATATGCAAAAATTCATGTCTTTGTTTATATGTAGTCCTACTGATGTCTTGTGACTTACATAGTATTAATTCTAATCTATTGGTGATATTTCCTTTATCCCAGAACTAAACCTATCTTATTAAGTAAAGGATTTCTTTTAATCTCARGACAATAGAGAAACATGATTAACCTTGGAATTTCTTATTTTCTTTTCTTATTCCTTGAAAATAATGCTGCAAGCTAGATCTATGTAAAAAGGAGTGTTGTATAAATAGTAACAAACATATGAAATAAAAATTCTTGTTTTCGCTTGAAAAAAAACACTCATCGATTATTAATTGAAGAGTTGGTCAAAGAAATGAATCTAAAACATTAGATTTGTAGACGGGAGTCAGGATTGGTTGGTTATAATTCAGTTTTGTCAGTTTAAGCCCTCGCTGTTCATTTGAGTGTTACTGTGTTGTTGTTGCTATTGTTTTTTTTATTGGGTTAGCTGTTGTCACATTCTATATATTAATAAGCTATATTATAATATYTATAAGTCAGAATGCTTTGTTTAAATCGCATCTTTGTTATTTCCAGGCTGTCATCGACCACGTTGCTTCAAATTCTTCARTTCATCATTCAGTCTTGATATCTCATCCCCAAGAGTGTCAAGATTTTCCTGTTGATGAAATTCAATAATAATGATGGTCACTGTAGTAGTTCTAATAATAATTCTTCATTTACTATCTAAAAATAAATGACGCTGAAAACAGTTGAAAAGGAGACTATTAAGCTTGCAGTTGTATACATGATACTTTAATTTCTCACACCTTGTTATTTTGTGAGAGTATAGCTCAACTGCCATCTTTTCTCAAGCCAAAGAAACAGCTATTTTCAGGATGATAGTGCAGACTGTAGGATAAAGTAGTATTCTTACCTTTAGAGTAATATTTTTAAGTATTGTATCTTCTAAGACTGTTTGCAGTTTTCTGTTGATTTCTAATGACAGTTCTAATGACATATCAGGATCAGACGGTTTGGATGAATATAATGATGCCATGATRCCTCCATGACGAGATAGCTGAACCTAAATAACAAAACATACAGGGACTAAACAACCCATCCACAGGTAACCCAACATGCTCTTCATGTCTTATTAGTAAGACATAAGTTACCTTATTTAAGTCTGACGTAGCAGGTGCTAGTGCTCCAGCTTGGTCACGTATCGCATAAAACTGTATGATTCTAAGAAAATATTAAAATTTCAATCATTTGATTGTATTAACCAATAACAGTGCTGCTASTTTGACTGACAGATTGTCAACTAAAATGTCTTATTTTTTGTTTAAACTAAAACAAGACTTACCTGGATTTCTTTTGTATTTCTTCTACAAGAGCATTGATATGCTCCTCCATGAACTCTAGTTTTTCATTCTTCTTTGCATGAATCTTCTGCAGTCGGCATATTTTGTCTACCAGCATCTTTTTATTCACTTCCATTTCTGGACCTGATGTTGATCTTAGTTGTGGTTGTACAGGTTGTACAATTTGAACTGAATCCTGAGGGGTAACCTGCTCAAACAAGACATTGATTGATTGTATGACTGATTCAATGATYRATCAATTGATTGACTGATTGATTAGTTGATTGATTGATTGATTGATTAGGTAACTGTGGGATTGATTGAGTGATTAARTGATTGAATGACTGATTGATTGGGTGAAATTGTGACTGATTTATTAGGTGACATTRTGACTGATTGATTGTGTGACTGTGCGATTTATTTATTTATTTTTAGATTTGATCAAGATTGACGTAGATATATTCCTATACCCACCCCTGAGTCAGTAACGCATGATGTCATAGCTGGATTGGATTGGGGCTGGGAGACTGTTATAGGGGGTGATGTACTGTAGTTACTATTAATCTTGTCAAGTGAGTTTGTAGATGATGACTTCGATATTGTCTCTCCATTTAGACTTTCTTTTGAGCCATGATGATTGGATTCGAGTTTTTCAACTTGTCTGAAAAATTGGTAAAAAARGTATCACTGTCAATATTATAATAAAGATCATTATTTAGTTTGAAAAGTTTGAGATGGTTTAGGGATGACTAAATTGGCTATTAATATATTATTATTCATAAGTACATACTTTCTTGATTGCTGTAGTTGTCTGGTTAGATCCTACATTAAAATGAAAACCATCTCAGTCATTAAATATAAACTCTTAATGCATGCATAAGTCTACACCATTTTTAATGTTTGTAAATGCAGTGCAGCATAGACAAGATCAGGATATAGTAAATTATCAAATCTAATAAAACCCACCTTGATGGCTGCATTATTTTTCCTTTTTGTGACTTGTAGCTCATCCTTTGCTTCTTCTAATGACAATGAAAGTTGCTCCACTACAAAGAAAAATAAAACAAATCATTTGTAATTCAGAAGAACTTGATTGCTTATAGTTACATGGCATTAATAACCATCTTCAGCACTGAAAATGGCTGGTAACCATTGATGCATACATGTACATGTATAAGTACCTGCTTTAGTTTTGTCCTGAGAACACACAGAAAGCTCTTCCACCTTCTTTTCCAAAGAAGACTTCTCTGAACTGAACTGTTTTTCCTGTTGACAAAGTTATGCTTTTAGTATTGGGAACCACACAATGGTTTGAACAGTTCTTCAAAAAGTCCAAAAACTGTACAAGTACAATAACAGTTAATGCATGGAAAGCTGCATGAATCAGTGTTGATATTAGGTAAAATGGAAAGTAAAAGAATAAGATGCATTCAATTTCTTACCAAACTTGCATTCTTTTGTCTAATTTCCTCTAATTGTCCATCTAAATGAGCTTTCTCAGTAAGCAGACTATCATACTGTAAAAAGATCAATACAAGTTAAGTTTTGTTTTTGTCTTTCATGTTACAACAATATCAAAATAACAACTGTTCCTCTCTCTCACCTTAGATTGAATACTAGTAACCTCTGACTGTAGTTGAACATTCTTGCCAGTAAGCTTCTCAGTGAATTCCAGTAACTGTGATTGGTTGTTAGTACCACCTGATATCTCTGCCTCAAGGTCATGGATGTGACTCTGTAGCTTTTCKTTTTCTTCATTCAACTGGGAAACTGTTTGAGCCTCACTAAAAGGATTGCAATAATTTAGAAAAAAACAAAGGATTGTGATCTCCTTTGTTGATGAAGATTTCTTACTTATACGTTATTTTTCTTTTCCAATTTACCTTTTTTGCAATCACTTACCAAAGGTAATCCTTGGTTTTCCTTCATGAGTTTGCAATTGCATATATTCTTTCTTACAGATACTGTGACAACACTAACCTTTCATATTTAGTTTTAAAGCTATTTGCAAGTTGTAGCTCATTTCTCATGGCCTCTGTATCAGTCTTTAGTGTCAAAGCATTCTTCTCATGCTCGGCAACTTTGATGGTATATGTTGTAACTTTCTCTTCAAGGAGAAGAACCTGGAGGCAAAGATACATATAGTGATAAAGCTTGTGTTGYAGTGTTTGAATAACAGTATGGTTACTACCTTTTCCTTCAGTTTATTTATTTCTTCTTGATATATTCTCTCTTGGTTTCTTAATGTTACAAGCTCCTGTACTTTTACYTTGTATATCTGTTACATCAAACAATTCAATCAAACAACCATAACAATGCAACAGTCTCAAACCATTCCATCACACAATCCATGCGTCAAAAATCAATTTGTCAATTAATCATCAACCAACCATTTCTTATGTTTCCACAATCAATCAAAGTTTGTGGCAAAAAAACAACAACCTATCAATCACATGAGGTAAATAACCTAGTAATGATAGCACAATTACAGAACTCCTTCTAACCTCATCTTGGTCAGCAATTTCCTGTTCATTTCTCTTCAATTCACTTTCCTTCTCTTTCAGTTTCTGGTCAAGGCTGTTAGACCTCATCTCCTCTGATTCCTGGTATTTCTTTATAAGTTCCTGGCAGTTTCTCCTTATCATTTCTCCTTCTTCTCTTGCTTCTTGCAGCTTTTGTGTTGTTTGATTTAATTTTGTCTTTGTTTCCTGGAGTTATGATAAGCAAAACAATTTTTTTTTGATGTGTCAAGTATACTAATTTATAAAAGTCATTTATTTACTTTCAGACTTTTATCTATATTATTTATCTATTGCAAAAATCCATTTCTTCATCAGTGCATTCATTCATTCATTCAGTCATTCATTTATTCCTTTACTGTTTCATCTATCTTCCCATTCTTTCCATCTGACCATTCATCAAATCATCCTTCCAATTTCATTCACCGATCCATATATTAATTGTTTTTATCATGAATCATTGTAAAAGAGAGTATTCTGCCTGGAAGATGTTTGTCACACTGAAACTTACTTTATGCAGTTCAAGTTCACTTTTCAACTTATTTTGTGCCCATTTCACTTTGACAATTTGTGAGTTTACTTCCTCTTTGAGAGATGTTTGTTCCTTTTGTAGCACTAAGTACTCCTTTTCCTATGATTGTGAACAGGTATCAAAATATTTCCATGTATTCAATACTACAGTGTACAGCAAAAGGTACCAAGCAAAGGAATGAGTTATTATAAATAATTATCATAATAATATTCATTAGTAATTTGAATAATAAAATGAACAACTTGTAAAAATATTATCATTTGTGGAATGTCATTTGTAAATATCCATTAGGTTTCAACCAACCTTTTCTTCTAAGGTTGCTTCAGTTTTTGCAAAGTCAGTGATCATGCTCTTAACTTTTTGTTTTAATTTTTCCATCTCCTGATAAAAAAAGATCATTGTGTCAACAACTTCAGTCACAGATAAATCTAAAACATGCAATAACTTCATTTAGCTTTTCAAGAAACGATCACAAAATTACAGGTTTTGTCAGAGACAAGAAGACATATAATATGAAAGGCTTGCAATGAAAAACAAGAAACCAAGGCTTGAAATGGTTGTTTAGTGTGGTCATTAATTTGGAAAGGTCTATTATAAACAAGACATTAAGAATTTACTGTATCATTCAGCTGATAATAATATACCTTGTTGTTTTCAATAATCTTTCCATTTAATAGTTCTTTCTCAACAAATAACTTTTTCTTGTCTTCTTCAACTTGTGTCATTTTTGTCACTGCATTTTCTTTGTCTTTTAATGCTTCTTCGTACATCTTAGTGACCTTTAATAAAACAGCAAAAAATGAATGAATGAACAAGAGAATTGATTAATAAAATGAATGGATGAATAGGAATGATTGATTAGCRAGAATTATGGTACATGTACCTGGTCAACCCTTAATGCCATTTCTTTCTGAATAGCATTAATAGCTCGTTTGGCTGCCGTATCGTGAGCTTGTAGCTTATCCTTCACTRCTTCAAGGTCATCCTCCAGTCTTTTATTTTCTTTGTCCAAAGATGCAATTTTAACATGTAACGAGTCGTTCTCCTCAGTTTTTTCAATGTGCAGCTTGGCCAACTGAGTGGAGAATTTRTCTCTTTCTTTTTGAGTCTCTTCAAGTGTAGTCCTGAGCCTAAATGTTAAACATTTATTTTACTGTCATTATGATACGTCATGTAATATATAACTACTGGTATGTGTATTGAACATGAAATTGATATATCTCCTTTGCTTTGAATATATGCAAATATTTTTAAACAAAAATATCTCTAAAAAAATAATAAATTCTATTCTGAACTCATGGTCCGAATTCTATGTAAGCTAAATGATGCACAGTACTAAAATTGTCACTACTTTGTACATGTCTGAGCTGGCTTTTATAAGAACTGCTGGTACAGTCCTCTATGTAATAAAGATATTTCTGAGATGTGGGGAAAGTATCAGACAATGCTTGAATGAAATTAAGAGTRTTCAAAATTATGTGCATCCATAAATACTCACACTTTGAGCTCATCTTTCTTGGCATTTAATTCCTCAATAACACCATTAAACTGTTCTCTTAAATCCTCATTCACTCTGCTCAACTGCGAAATTTTTTTGTCTTCCTCTTGCTGGGAATTTTTCAGTTTTTCACATAAATCCCTCTCTCTTTCAAGCGATTTCTTGTATTCATTTTGCACTTTCAACAATTCATCTCTAGCTCGTTCATATTCTGTTAAAACAATTTCATGGTGTGGASGGTCGTTRTTGAGTTCATTAGTTGGTTCGTGTTTGTCGATTTCAAGTTGATCATCCTTGGTGGTACATGTATGCTGTCTGGAATCAGAATTTCTTGTTGAATTTYCATTGTTTTGTATACAATCGACATCTCCATTGACTATATGACTGTTTTCACTGTCATYATGACCAATATATGGATTAACTGCTTCAAGTTCATCCACAGAGGAAGACATTTAGGCATAAAAATCCAAAGGACTTATCTTGTCGTGACATTCAGTARAGTACAACTCCATTTCTGAATGATAACATTGTAGTTCTTTGCGTCGRTATTACTSCGATTCCAACAAATATAACAGCAAACTTCACGAAGTTCCTACACACAACAGCAGGATGATAACTTAGTGATATAGAGTAGAGGCAAACGATAAAAGCCGGTAGTTAACGTTATCAAATATTGAAAATCTTTCGGCCAAATCCCAAAGCTGTGTTTACATCCGACAACTCGAAAAATTACGAGAAAAAACTTTGTTCAYAGAATAWTGTCTTTCATACACACAACCAGTTTGAATATCCTAATGCTCGATTGATAGTCTTTCAAGCAAAGTTRMATCGAAGAATGAAAGATAACTCAATCACCAAAAACATTTTCTTGCGGTTTGTTTCCAAAATGGCGGATCTAAACGTCATCAGCTATGTCACGTGATCATCATAATCGGTGTCTAGTCTCTCGCTTCTAGTTAACAGGAGAAAAAGGATTTTGCCCTCTCAAAAACGTTTTTTGATAGCCACTTTCAAATTATAAATGCAATTTGTGGGGGTCAAATTGCTGTCGCTGCTTCCTTATTGGATAGTATTGGGCTGAAATCTGCTTCCTTATTGGGCAGAATTGGGCTGAAGTCAGCTGAAATCTGATTGGCGGAAGAATGACTAAGTAAAAATTTTCAGGCCATTTTACTATTATTTTTTCGTGAAACTTGTGGAAGAATCTAATTATAGTTAGCATTCACTAACTCAAATATTATTATCAACGGTAAAATTTATTTGGTTATAATTTCAAACCATTTCTTCGTTTCAACGTGAACGTAAAAAAATGCTGACAAATTTCTATAAACTCCATGTGCTTATCGCGGGAAAATTCCTCCCCCTACCCAGAGTTCCTTGGTTCGAGACTACTGCGCGTGCGTGACACCCAACCCAACTAAACATATGAGAAAAACCTCCTAAGAAGGTGAACATTAGTTAAATGTTCAAGGTGATTAATTGCGTAGATTTTGCTATTGATAATTCTTATGCTACTCTTCYGCTGAAATTCTTGTATTGATGAGGATAGATATCTAAATACTTCGAAATTAACTCCAAAAATAGTTGAATAATAAAAGAACTTCAAATATACCAACCAATCATGTGTCATCTTCTTATAAGGTTATGTAGGTCGTATAAAAGTGGTGGTATTTCTCTGACGCAGACGAAGGGTTTACTCTGACACAAACATGTCTGATCAACTTTYGATCTTACAACCACAACAACTTCTTTCTCAGTTTTCTCCTCATTGCAACAATGTCAGAGGTTTATATTGGACTCAGAAAAAGGTATCAAGTCTCTGGAAACTACTTCGCTTGGTTGTTAGAGGTTTTTAATCAGTTTTGTGTGTTTTTAACGCAGGAGAAAGAGAACGCATCCAAGCAAGTGCCCTTGTTGTATCGCGGACCAAGAAGTTGAACCGGAAAATGAAGCAAGCGCCGGTAGTGAGGTAATTCCAGGGTCTTTACCGTCCTTCTAGGCTAGAAATACCACAGTAGTACTGACAAGTGTTCATTTTCTAAGTTTTGGTAGTGAATAACCTGTTTTAAGACTAAATTTACGGTTGTTTTATGGTAGTTGATTTGAGCTCACCAACCATGTGTGCTTGGTGGACTGCASTCAGCAATCCGAGGTCAAACGATGTTTTATGTTGTGTTTTCTGCCATAAATCGCAATTTTTAAACCTGCAAAACATAATAATATTACTCTATAACATCGCTATTCGATCCATAACACTTCTCATTGAAATCACTACAAAAATCAGACATCTCATAAGTTTACATTTGTGTACAAGAACTGGTTTCCTATGGCTATCGCTCCCAATTTTGTCTTGAGAAATTTCCTGTGTTTGTTTCAAGTAAGCATAGTAAGCATAAAAACTATTATGAAAAAATCTCCCATCATCACTGTATTTTAGTATTGTTGCTCATGCTGTAATGTATTTTTGTGCTAATCGAAAGTAGTCCAGCCTATGCTTTGCTGTCATACATTATAGCAAGTCAATTTAAATTCACTGTTCGCTTTATAGAGCTATATTCCTGCCAGACAGTATGATTTTATTAGATATCTTACTGATACACACAATTAAAAACGTTATCTATTATGTATCTTTACCTTTCCTGTTTCATATTTCTGATTTAAGAAATACACTGCGATTTTTGTTTATGGGCTTATCTTGTGTCCAGAAGATGATGTTATTGAAAACGTTCAAATTTGCGCTCTACTTAATTCAACAATATAGAAATTTCAAATTAAATTTCTTCTCTTGATAAACTTTTTGTACTGTAAATCGATGTGAATTCCAAACGGTTGATAATAGTTTATTAATTTTTGTTATCACAGAAAACCAGACACAACAAAAGTACAAAATCGGTGATATCAAATAAACAATTATGCATTAAGTGTTTAATACATTAGCTTTTTTTTACAATCATGGATTTTTGCCAGTTTATTTACATTTTATCATTGACAGTGGTAGTATTGTATAAATTAAGGTTTCTATAAAAGTAAATTCAATCAGTTGTTGTTAAATAAAAATGATACTATTTTTTGTATTAAAATACTTATTGACAGCAAGGGAACCCAGGGAAAATATGGAGGGAAGCGGAAAATCCCCTTTAATCACAATGTAAAATGGTAGGGTATGTACCCCTTCATTGCTGAATGGTTCAGTGCTAGAATATATGGGATATACCAATCAAACATTAACAAACCTCACCATTTAAAAGTCCATAGGAAAAGATAAAATGTACGTTGCTGTTCAAGGTCTCTTGTAACAATTCAGCAATATTTTCTGTCATTACAGTGACTCTGTGAGCAAGGAACATCAAAAATTAAATGTAAAAAAAATTCCAATTTCATTGGGGCACTTTTAATGATAAAAATGTAACCTATTTTCTAATGATGGTTATRTTTCTAGAATACCATTGACGTTATCAAGGAAAACAGACAAATTAAAAGGTATCTTTACTTTGTATACATGTAGCAATAAATCAATGAATCCTATTAAGGTTTAGCTCAATATTTTATGTATATAATGTATATTAATCAGCTAGACTGCTTCGTACTTGCATAAATGATTGATAATGACAGCAACGGCTATTGTTAATCTGAAAACAATTCATGTTCCAGGAAAAGAGCAATAAAAAGAAAACCTAATGAAACCAGAAGTGAGAGTGAGTCTGAACAGAATTACAGTGAAACTAAATCACCACCTRCTAAGAAAAGTAGAAAGTTAAGGAGTAGTTCTGAAGAAAGTCCACAACAATCAACAACTGCAAAGAAAGTATCTAAAACTAGATGCAAAAGCAACCAYGAAAAGAGTACAAAATCTGAAAAAACTCTCACAAAATCCAAAACCAAAAAAGGTGGAGTTAAAACTAAAAACATTTCAAACAAAGAGTTGAAAAGTAACAATAAGAATACTAAAACRTCTGAACATGATTCAGATGAAGATATCAAAAGAGATGAAGGTGAAGGACAACATGAGGATGTAGTTACAGYGGCAAAAGCTTCAAAAAATAAAGCAAGGTCTCATAACARTAAAAGAAAAGCTACAAAAAGCAATTGTGGGCGAGTAAAGCCACATCCCATCAACACAAAAACAAAACAAGKTAACTCAAAGACAGAGGATGATGATGAAGATGACCATTTGACTTCAAAAAGTGTGAAAGTGAAAAAGACAGTTTCTAAGCAAGCTGTTAAAGGAAAGGCACTCAGAAGAGTTCCAGTTGAAAAGCCTTCACTTGCATTTATAAAGACAGCAAGCAAAACAAAAGGCTCAGCCTTAACTCAGGTCRTGCAACTTAAAATATCAGTGTTTGATGACCTTTACAGTAAATTAAAATCAAGAAATAAGGACATCTCCATTGAAGAAGCTGCTGAAATGTTGTCCAAAATTTCCAGTGACAACCTTCTGATAGCTTTTAAAACTTCACAAAAACCTGATAAGCTTGRGAGCAATGCCTCGAGGCAAGAGAAAAAAGTGATTTCTGATACTGAAGAGATTGTGTCGCAAGCAGCGGAAGCATTAGTTAGTTTTAGAGCAAAGTCTCCTATTTCAAGAGAAGATCCCAATAAGAGTGAAAAGATCAATCCAACTCAATCTTCTTTCACTTCATCAACTGCTCCATTAATTTCTCAAGCAGGTGAGAAAGTGAAACCTTCTGTTACTGCAGCTGCAAGTGCTGTGCAAGCTTTAATGCAGTTTCAAAGTAGTAGCTCAGTTCCATGTACTTTCCCTAGTACACTTACCTCATCAAAAGTACCACAGAACATGCTTCATGGAGTATTACCAGCAGTTACATTATCACAATCATTTCCCCAATTGTTACAACCAAACTTGACAACATCATTCACTAACCTTATGCCTATGGTCAGTTCACATGCTACTTTACCAAGCTTTAGCCAGATAGCTGCTCATTTGAGGCCACCACCACCAATGTCTGGAATCACCAATACACTGTCCAGCAATCTTCCAGGTGGTATGCAGTCTCCTTTGATCACACCAAGTCTATCCAGTGCAAGTGTTCCATCTACTTCACTAATGTTACCAAATCAACCACTCCTTCAACCTCAACTTCAGCAACCTTTACCATTGACAAACCCAGTGACTTCCTGCAAGCCAAATTTGACAGCAGTAAAGAATACAGCACCAACTGTGGAAACAACTKCCAACAAGACAACCACACAGAAACAGAATCCACTGCAGCAACCATTGAAAGGCATGGAAGAAGTTGTAGGAAATGTTGGCACTAATGTTCCCCAGCCGATTCTCTGGAATCTCAAGTCACCAGTTGTATTTCTAGGAAGTCCTCAAAATCTGGGAGGAGTACCACGCAATTTGGTGGCTTCACCGAGCACCAGTCAGAGTGGGACAAGTTTAGAGCAAGCTGGATACCGTCCAGTTGCACCAAAACCTGTTTCAAAGTCAGATACTTCCCATTCAACAGCAGCCCCAGTGTCATCTGTACCTAACTTGCTAACACTTGGTGGAAGGCCAATTCTTCCCCGAACTCAGTTACAAGGTGGAGATGACARTAAGAAACTTCAGACACCTCAGTCAGGAATGCCTTTTATACCTCAACTCCCTTCGATTAACCCATCTCATCCCTATCAAGCTGCTGGCTCCGCACTGCAACCTTTAACACAAGTTAGTGCAGCTAGTCCTAAGAGAACAACACTGATGTCTGTGAGTCTCCCCTCATCATCTATCATCACCAATCTTCCCTCGTCATCWACCTCTGTRGGACAAACTCTGAGYCCGTTTATGCAGCAGAGTATSCAAGATAATACTTCTGTCAAATGTACATCGCCATCAACTGTTTCAGCCAAGCAAGCTGTCAAGAAACTTGTCCACGAACGCACAAAATCTGCTGAACTCAAGAAAGAAGCAAGTGGTGGTGCTAATCCTCACACAACAACAAAATTGAAGGCAATTTTACCTTTACCACCAAAAGATCCATCAACATCAACAGTAACTAGCACTGAAACTAAAAGCAATGAATTTAATCTAGAACAAGCCGCTACTGCTTTACTTAGCATTGGCGTACCTGATGGTATTGAAACCATTGGCTTGAAGCAAGGCTCCTCAGATCCTTCAAAAGATGACTATGAGGAAGATGTTGTGTTTACAAGTAAAGGCACTTTTAGAGTTGGTGATGTTGATGTAGATCCACGCTACAATCGAATAGGAAGAGGTGGGTAACTTTATTACAATACCTTAACATTGCTTACAACTGACAGTAAGAGTAATGAGCAGGAAATTTGGAACTTTGACTGCAACCACTCAGCTGAGTTAATTTTGTTCATTGAATTATTTCTTCCATTGGAATATCCGTACATTATTGACACAGGATTAGGAAATATCTTTATGAAAGTCAACCTCAGTACATTGCAGACAGTTATCGATAATAATAATAAGGCACCATGCCTTTATGCTAAGGTTTCCACATAGTATTGTTTGAAGTTTTTAGCACTTTCTCTACGGTTTAGTAATACAGTTCAGTTCATCTTTTGTTATTGTTTCTATCCAGAGGGCTACACTTGTGGGAAATGCAACAAAATCTTCACATCTTTAAGCTACCTGGCWCGCCACATCAAGAGAGTTTGTCCAGACATGAGTTGTAGGAAATGGAAATGTACACTGTGTGACAAAGCCTTCCGTCATCCATTTGGTTTACAACAACATGTGTACACCCATACTGGAGAACGACCACATAAATGCCCTCTATGTCCTAAAGCCTTTTACAGTTCCAATGATTTAAGAAGGCATAGTAGGATACACTCAGGTACATTTTACAMTAGATATTACTCCACTACAATTATGATGGAATTATATTAGCAATGATGATGATGTAATGTTTAAGATTAATCTTAGACTTTGATGTACAATTGTTATAACTATTTTACGACAACACTCTACATTCAGTATGTGTTTCAAAATTTACGAATGTAACTCAGTAATTTAGCTATTTTTGATTGATATGTTTAGGTGAAAGGCCATATCGATGTAAACACTGTGATAAAAGCTTTGCTACTACTATATCCCTAAAGACTCATACCTACATTCAYACCGGAGAAAAGCCCCACAAGTGTCCACAATGTCCAAAGACGTTTGCTACATCAAGTAAACTTGGTCGACATATAGTGACTCACTCAGAACAAAGGCCTTACTCGTGTGACCAGTGTCCTAAATCATTTAACAGATCAGGTAAATGATTGGACAAGAATTGTTTTAATAAAATCCCATGCAAACAACGTATCTTAACTTTGATATCGTAATGAAAGCTTTATCGAACACCGAAGAATTACAGATTATGAATTACAGATACCTTTAGAGGTGTGTTATGATTTATCAAATTCATTAATAATTCATAATACATACTTTAACTTCGASTTTCTTTTACAAATGATATTTTATCCTGAAGTTTTTTTCGAAATATGCTTTATCTTATGTTGGAATTTGATAAATATTACATAGAGGTCGTGTCACCATATAATGRCTGTTTCACGGGTTTATTACCAGGTGATCTTCGTCGGCATAATCTCGCTGTGCATGATGGTAAAGAGAAGTCTTTTGAGTGTGAAGTYTGCCCTTCTACCTTTTCTAAGTCAGGTCAGTTATTAGACGATGAATAAAAGATATACAAATACTAAACAAAATTAGACGCACGACTTAAATTCTGCGTCTTATTTACTTTTTTTTCTTCAATTTTACCATTTCCAGCTAATAAAAGTAATGACAACCATTTCTTTTTTTTACTTGCAGCTGATCTCCGTCGACATAACGTCACCGTYCACCAGAAAACCGTTAAAACATTACAATGTGAAGACTGTGGTACTCAGTTCACAACTCAGCTYTGTCTCAAGATGCATCGAGACACGTATCACAAAAAGTCCTCGTCAACTGACTCGGATAAGATTCACACATGTGATGTGTGTGGTAAGACGTATAGTAACGCTGCACTACTTACCAAGCATAAAGCAACCCATGAATCTACTGCTGCTTATAATCTGAGTCAATTTCAACATATTGCACCTAAACCCTCTGAACAACTCATGAACGAAGGGGGAACAGGATGACACGAGTCACGTGGTTCATTAGATTGAAGGYGAATACTCTTGTTCCGAGACCGATTATGTTACTGTTCTTATTATCACGGGAACACTGCAATTGAGTCACGTCATGGAAGTACGTTCCGTGTATTTTTTGTGTTCTTAGAGGCGAGTACTAAAGTGAAGTCACGTTTGTATGGGATCAAAGTGTATATAGATAAAATGCGTCACTTCGATACTTGATTGAAGCAAGGTTTCTTAACTGAAAATGCCGACTGATGGTGAACTGGTTAGTTTTTACCTGTTGTCGACATTCACTTAGAAAGAGAAATACGACAGTACTAACTAAACCACGATCTAAACCACGATGCATAGCGCGTTAAGAATCTATTCGAATTGTTTTTCGCCTTGAACGGCAAAATTTGTGGCTGGAACAGTGTTTCTTAGTTAAGCCACTTCGGATACACGCGTAGCGTGTGTCCATTTAGCGCACTACATTTATCTTGTTTTAACCAGGACTAGACCATAAGCGATCTTTATGGTATTAGATCCGTTGTAATTTCGCGCCAAAACTTGCTTCAATGCGTTTAATAAAATTTGCCGAGTTTTAAATTAACCATTAACTCATTATACTAATGTAATAGTTGGTTAAGTGGGTGTAATGAATGTAAACATATTTAAAGTGGATAAAGRTAATAGTTGGTTTATAGTATAAAATATAAAGGGATGCAATGAGAAGGGCCGGCATTAGATTGTAAATATGTAATCGTACTAAAATACAATTATGTTGCACATTTTGTAAGTATAGTAAGAATAAACTTTATTTTGCAAGGATTTGTCAAGCTTTGTATATCAGGTTATTAAACTGCAGTTCGAAAGAGGCAAGGAAAAGCAAGTTGCATTGCTATGTGGGCTCACCCCATGACAGCTCTGATGAGGAGGACGATGCTTACAAGCAATGTCAGCCATGTGATATACGATATGGAATTTCCTCTTCGTCAAAGGCTGTAAAGATTTAGTTTTTTTTAATGTTATAATCAAATCTATATACAGGATATTATATTCTAATTGACATTGGCAGTACCCGCTGCTAAGACCATGTTACACGAGCTAAACTTCACGCAGTTTACAGATGCATTYCGCGTRGARTAGGAAGCCAAGAGTTCACTCGACTGTAYAGTGCTGCTACTACTACTTGAAGTGTGCGCGGTTTTGGAAACTTGTGAAAAGTCCCAAACACGCAGGTGGTTGTCSAGTCCACCGGACGCTAGCAACGTACCATCCGCACTAAAACATAGACTATATACAGTGTCCGTGTGCCCGCGAAGCTCCTTTAATATATTGCCCGCGGAAAGATCCCACACTCGTATGCGCCTGTCTTCACCCGATGACACTAAATATTTCCCATCTGGTGAAATAGCCAKAGACAAAACRCCACCCTAAAGTGAARACAAAGGTTAGAGTAATTCATATATAACACAAGAAAAGTGTTATATGACTGCGCAACAATAATGTGAAAATAAAATGAAAARGAACGACTWCTCCATGACTTGTTAGTTTTAACAACGCAGCGYAMGGACGTTCCTCATATAAAACCTCGATAATCAWAGTTGTACCTTGTGACCTCTAAATAACCGTACGCAGTTCCCTGCTTGTACATCCCATAGTCGACACGTCTTGTCCGTAGAGCCGGTTGCAAGGTAGTTACAGTTGGGATGAAACTTCACACTCTGAAGAGAAGACAGACGATGAGCAAAATACAACTCAAAAGCAGGTGAGCTTGTGAAAAGTAAATGAAGGGGAATCAAACAGGAAAAAATGGGAAATGAAACAAGTTGTACTTAAAGTCTTACATCAACATCTTGTAGATGACCAGAGAATATCCTCAATGGATAATTGTACTCAATGTTCCAAAGCCTGGCCGTAGTGTCATGGGAACCAGTAGCAAAATAGTAGGACTGAGAACTGATGTCCAGGCTCCACACGGGATAGTTATGCCCTYTGTACAGAACCACATTGTTGTACGAATGAAGACTCCACAGGCGAACTGAGGTGAAAAGAGTGCGCATCAATACAAGTTAAGTTAAGTTATATTAAGTGGGCACTGAACAACCTGATACTCCATGGTAGTTCAAATTACTGATCCCAAACTCTACTGTCCGAAMTAGTATTCCGGTATATACAGTAAGTTTACTTGTACTTTTTGGTGAGATATAAAGATATAAAAGACGCTTACAGCACTGATGCGTTTTCGTAGAAATGTGGTAATCATACCGATCTCCGCTTTCAAGGAARTGAAAAACAACATAAACACGTATAAGTGCCTTTCAAGACTTTTGCGTTTAGAAGGTGACCATGCTCATAATCAGGTTTGTTCAGGTCAAGTGTTGCCAACCCTCTTCCGTGCATATGTTGCCAATGTCGCGACAACTCTYAGTCGGAAGACTCTATTCAATAAACCCTCCAGTAAAACAGAAAAAATACGTTATAGGAATTGTTACACAATAAAAAATATTTACTTTTTCAATCAAGTTTTAAATGAATAACACGCGATAATGTCTACGTTTGAAGAACGCGATGAGCAATTGTTCAACAATGCGCTGTTATACTACTTCCTGAAACTTGTCAATTTCAACTAAGTTACGTGACGTAAACAAGCCACAAATGGTTCCGTTATTGCTCCTTCTATACAAAGCTTGGGTAATCTACCCACTGGCGATTCGCTATCGAAAGGTCCAAGCTAAAGGAACCAAAAAAGTAAGTAACCTCGGAATTGATTCAGAATTAATTGTTGTCGACTGAGTGACTGCAATGTACCGTAAAATTGACGACCATTCACGATAGAAAAAGCCAAACTGCTAGTGCTGGACCTTAGCTTCTGTTTCAAAGGTTTATATTATCTTTAGACTTTCACAGGTTTGAAGCAAACTTAATTCGTGAAACAATTCATACAAATTATTCCATTACATGGTGTTGATGAGGCTCCTCTCACAGCGAGGCTCGTCCTGGGAACGAACCTTGTAACAGCTGCGAGAGGAGACTAGGTGTTAATCAGACAATAGGAAACAAAGGAATTTGCATAATTTAGTGTATTTTGTACTATCTGAGTATCATGGATTTATTGCTTAGTCTGCATAAGCAACACATCATTGGTAAGCTACCTGTGGTATCTTCAGAAGCAGAAAGCATCACAGACCCATCAGGACTGAAGCATGTGGCATATACTGGTCCACTATGACCTAATAAAGGAAGTTCCTCCACAGATACTGTCTCGATTCTAGAGTTATCAGGTGGCAAAGCATCTAATATATAAAATCAACATCTAAAATTAACTGACTTTCACATTGCTAAATTCAGAAAACATATACTGAATGTACAGATTTGGATGAAACACCAAGTCAAGGAAAATCATACCTGGAGCCAAGATAACCTTTGAAATATCTGTGACACTCTTTGGTTTAACTAGCTTTTTAGGAGTTAAACTCCAGAGATGGATGGACGAATCTTCAAATCCACCACACAACAGACTTCCATCATTTGATATTCCAGCAGAACTAACACTAAACAACAGTAACAATGAGRAAATCAAAGAATTGCATGCAACCTGACAGCAACCCTTAGCATTGTRAGCTTATTCCTGTTTAATTCCCTACATGACAAATAATACCAGGTAATTCAGCATTCAATCAAACAAATTTGAATAATRGCCATTTCAATAAACTCCAATGTCTTCAATCATGAAGAATAAAACCARACATGCWATTATATGATATGGGAATCACATCATGACTGCATGCACCCATTTTATGCCTTACCCTTGATAAGCATTTTGAAAAGTGTAAAAGCAYACTGATGGCAAGCAAGCTGGTCCATTCCTGACTTTGTCTATACTCTCTTTTAAAGCTGTGAGACTAGCAGCACCCTTTTCAACAACACTTTTAAGATGTTTAGTGTCTTTGCTTGTTTTTGTAAGAGGTATTTCATCATTCTCTTCCTTGACACCATTGTAACCAGGCCGTTTTCCCGGTTTTGTTTGTGTTATTTCGATTGCAAAATTCCTGTTGATTAACTGAAGAAGTAGCATATGATCACTACTTCTTAAATACTGCATAAAATATGTAAACACTTTGTGGCTGAGACTTATACTGTATTTACTACGCCTGAAGTTAGCCGCAGTATCACTGGATTTCAGTCGTTCAGAGTCAGTGATTGCCTGTAGGTTTTGAATATCTTCTTTAAATTCTACACCCARATCACTGCTGTACTTTGAGAGGAAGTTCTGAGCATTGACCAGAAATCCTTTTGCAATCAGATCGAGATAGGAATTTGCAAAAACTGGGAAAAGAATTTGGATAAGTTCTTGTCTATATGATGGGTTAGCTCCAGTAATAAAAGATTTTAGGCTTCCGTACTGTTCATCGTAGCTACTAGGATCTAAGTTGTTAACACTGAATGACAATACGTTGGGAACACCAGATTCGATGTCCACAGAATTCTTCAAAGCAACATCCTCCACAGCCACGTGTTGGGACGACTTTGCACTCGAATTTTCGCCATTGCTGAAATTCCTTTTCTTTAAAAAACTCATGACCATGGAAGACAAGTGGTCATTCTTTAATTGCTTCCCATTAGGATTCATTTTTCGGGTCAAGAAGACCAAAATAACAAATTCTCAATAGTTGTCAAAATATGCTTCCAACATCCGCCATCTTGAATACACAACCGATGGAAAACTGGGGCGAGCTTTTGGAAGATATCCGATGCTATTCCGAAAGACTTCCGATGGGTACAACACGCAATCGGTTTCTCGTTGTAGAATTACTGAAGGTCAGACGACAATCATAGTCGACATCACAAGGAAGGAGATTACGCTACCATATTTTGCCATATTTTTTACCATATTTTGCCCTTKTCGTTGCATTCTCTTCCCGGGTTAAACGAACAGACTTCTGTATCGTCAAAGTAAGTGTAGAGACATAAACTTAAATATGTTACATTCTCAAGCTGCCACAAGTGCTCACATGCGAGACAATTCTGTCTTTTGTTGGTGTTCAATGATCCTAGACGAGCTGGAGGTCTTAAATAATTATAATAGCAATCATTCATACTAGTATATTATGCAATACAAAAGAGCTATTTTGTATTTATGGAAAGAATAGACTGTGGACTTTAAACCGTGAACTAAATGTTGTATAAATGACCCTAAGTAGGTTCTAATTACATTGAGGTCAAACAACCTGTGATGTGAAATACAGTAATGCCGAGTGGTGGGTTTTGTTGCGACATTTGTTATGCCACAGGAAGCCCATAGTGAAGAATATACCATGTCTGATCAATGTAGATACCATCACRGATTTTAGAGCTCAGCTTAGCCTCGTGTTGCAGACACTTTAGATCAAATGCTCAAGCAAGTGTTTAACTTTTATATTGCTGCTGTGTTTTGTAGGGTAGCCTCCTTTCACAACCATAATATTATATGATGTAGGGGCAGATAAGGGGTTTAAGTAAAGGGACATCATTCACAAAACATTAAATCCAAGGTGAAGTCTTACAGAAGGAGTAGATTTCCACAATGCTTGACTGTTTTATGTCCCAAATAATCTATACCTTGCAAATATATTTGTGAATTATATCATAAATATCAAATTGTTCACTCCACAGATTATTAATAAAACTACATAACAAAGATGTTTTCAATATTCCCACTATTATCAGAGGGAATACAGGCACTCCATTTCAGCCTTACAAGTGGAAAAAAGGTGGGAATATTACTTACTTCATGTTATTGGTATACCTTGTAACAATCTGATTTATTACCACATAAAGATGAAACTCAGTCCAGTATTGATAGCACTCCAGTAATATAATCTTCATAATACCTCTTTTAATAACATATTGACTTCTATGAATTGATATTCACACCAATGTAAATTAAGAAAAAAATTTGTGTTATATTTTATGATATTGTTGATTATATATATTATATATATTCTTCAATATTGTGATTATTACTTTTAGGTTGCTATTATATGATATATTGTATTGTATTTTAAATATTATATTGATGTTTTCCCCATAGTTGAATTATTTAAATAACATTGGTTTGAATTTAGATATAATGAAAATTGATATTGTTTACATCAACACTCACCAAAATCAAGATAGAATTAATTAAAGGTTTTATTGCCATTGTGGATGTGATGTTTTTGTATTAAAATTACATTCAATACTATATAATCATGCTACCTACCACAACTAGATTGTACCTGTTGTATGAAGGGTCCATAATACTATAGCTCATTATGCAAATCTTAAGGCTTTCAGTCAAGCATGCAAAATAGGCTTGGTGGGGTATAATAGTTAAGCCAAACAGCGAAATATAGAGAAAGCATACTAGATAGTTATCTGTTAGACAGCCAAAAGACCTTTACCACTATGGTAAGATTACTTGATAATGTTTTTGTACCAAACAAAATAATTATGAGACCTACAAAATACAACATTAATTTTGTGTTCACAGTTGAATTAAGGGTCCATTGGCATCCAAATTTGGCATTTTTATTTTGAAGGCATTGAGAGATTGAATTGAAGTAGYATTTAAATAACTATCTCAWCATTTCAAATGTTAGTATTGTTTTTAGCTTTCAAACTAAAGAAAAGAGAGTTTTTTGGTTTTGTAACCAGGATAAAAACATCTTAGAACAATTYAAATTGAAAATAAGAACAAAATGCCATGTCAAGACATGAGACATGCCTTGTATAAATGTTTAATTTGTTGACAAGCTTTTCCTTAATGTTCTTTGTATTCCTTAATTAAAACTCATAAAAATTAATATTTACAACTTGAAAACATATGCTTGCAGCTGTTACATTGAACTTCCTTACTTATTCGTTGAAGCTCAATGACAAAACCCATGTGACTGCAGAAGCATCGTACAGCATGTGTAAATTGTACAATATGAACAAACTTGATTATAAGTTGTCTACAAAATAAATGGTGAACCCAATGACCTACATTTTAGGCATGTTTCTTATTAAAATTAGGTAAATTTACACTGTATCTTTTCTTTCATCTAAAGGTTGAGGAAATAATAAGAAAATATGATTTACCGAAAGAGTCTCTTGAAGAAGTCATACGTTTACTCAGACTTGATATGGAGAAAGGACTTTCATCAGACCCTAAAGTTCAAGCAGAAAGCCCCATCAAGATGTTGCCAACATTTGTGAGAGCAATCCCCAATGGGTCAGAGTCAGGAGACTTCTTAGCACTTGATCTTGGGGGAACCAACTTTCGAGTCCTACTTGTTCAGATATTGCATGGAAATGTTCATATGGAAAGTGATGTTTTCCCATTAAATCAAACACTCATGCGAAGTGATGCCGTCACATTATTTGATTATATTGCAGACTGTATTTCGTTATTTGTAAAAAGGAAAGGAATCAAAGAAAAAACTCTCCCTCTTGGGTTCACATTCTCCTTTCCAGTCCAACAACACAGCCTTGTWTCAGGAGACTTGATTCGATGGACCAAGGGATTCAGTGCTGAAGGYGTTGAAGGGAAAGATGTTGTTTTGCTGCTTAAGCAAGCATTGGAAAGAAAACAGGTATTGTRCCTTATGATTTATTTTAAGCTATCATTGAGGATTTGCAGAACACAGTTGTGGTGGATCCAGGATATTTCAATAGATTTCTTGTGTGTAGCAGAAAACTTTTAATATGTTTTAATCAACCAATATCATCACTAGGTACTTGCACATCACTATTAAAACTAAAATTGAACATGGMTTGWTACTGGAGCTATTGKAAGAAGTAAAATAAGTTAAAATTGATATGAGTGAGGCAGATTTTGTAATGATTATTTACATTCCTTGWAGAGTCATGCTGTTGACGTTGTGGCCTTGGTTAACGATACAACAGGAACAATGATGTCATGTGGATTTGAMAACAGAGATGTGATAGCTGGTCTTATTCTTGGTACTGGTACAAATGCATGTTACATGGAGAACYTAGACAAAATAGCTAAGTGGACTGGTGATAACCTTGATCCACGTGAAGTCATTATCAACACAGAATGGGGTGCTTTTGGGGATAATGGGGTACTCGGCTGGCTAATGACAGACAACGATAAGAAAGTTGATGCTGAATCGCTAAATCCTGGACAGCAGCTGTGAGTAAAGACACAAATTCTTTTTTCCTTTCACCTTTGCTAGTTCTGATCTTTGCTTTGACATTCAATAAATTGTCAGGTTRTATGACTTATACCTGAATTGTGATTCTCCCTTAGCTTGTCACATTACCTTCATCTTGACTTTTGACTGGCCATTGCCAGCAAAATTTTATTATTAACATATCTGTAAAAGAACATGGATCACATTATACACATAGTTTCAAAACATAAAGCATTGTGATTCATATTTTGAAGTTCAATTTAATCATTCAATTCTCTGTATTCTCTTTCTTCAGCTTTGAAAAGATGATTTCAGGAATGTACCTAGGAGAACTTGTCCGTCAAGTATGTTTAGAACTTGTTGATAAAGGCTTGTTGTTCAATGGAAAAGCTTCAAAGAAATTGATCACCAAAATGTCATTTTTGACTAAATTTGTGTCTGACATTGAAAGGTACAGTATAAACTGATGATTTAAAATAAACTGTCTGCAATGCCTGGTCATACTTTAGAGTGTACAATATTATTTACTTATTTCAGTCATGACAACTCCAAGCTACTGGAAGTACTGAAAGAACTTGATATTCAAGCTACACAAAAAGACCAAGAGATCCTTGGGAGAGTCTGTACAGCTGTATCAAAAAGAGCAGCCCGTCTTGCAGCGGCCGGCTTAGTAACAATAGTTTTAGTAAGTAATTATCAAGTGAACAGTGGTATTGTCTTACTGAATATTAGTTAAACTATTATATTATCTTTATTGTTRCAGAAAGCGAACAATCCTACTTGCACTATTGCTGTTGATGGCAGTGTTTTCAAATTACATCCTCAATTTAAAAGCTACATGCAAGACGCCATCAAAGAATTGATGCCTGCAAGTGAAATCAAGTTGATGCTGTCTGAAGATGGCTCAGGAAAAGGTGCTGCATTGATTGCCGCAGTTGCTGCTAGAATCACCAAGCTACAATCATGAATGATTAGCATATAGAAAATGGGGACACTATGGATATGTTATCAGACATTCCTAAAGCCCTGTTCAAGAATATAGTTTGTTTGTACACAATTAGTCACAGGTTTTATGGCAAAAACAATGTACAATATCACCTCCTGTAGTCTCACCTCAGGAATGTCATAACCTATAATCATGAAATGGCTGTAACATATTTTATCCATGATATTATGAATAGGCATGACCATAAAAAACAATATGTACTCACTTGACAATAAACTCAGTGTTTGCAAGATTTCTAAATGTGTTTTTGTTCTGCTATGCTCCACCTTCTTGAAAAAATGAGCTTTTACCTTAAGTACATAGTATAGTATCAACAATTGAGGGTTACTGTAAGTTCAATTTGTCCACGGCTCATGGATAAGGCAAGTTGAGAATGTTTTGTGCTTTATACCATCTCTCAATTACAATGTTTCTCCAGGAATGTAGTGTATGCCAACCATGGGAGAATATCAAAGTTTGTGTTGTGTTATAGTGCATGATTGGAATATAAGATGCTCTTGATAATATTGTGAATGTTTATACAATAATATTGATCACACAGACAACCATGTTATTTTTGCTGAGGTTCAAAACATCTTTACTATTCCTTTGAAACTTGCTAACATTGATAATAATAATTTATAAAATTGCAGTCTTGGCAATGCACTTTGCTAAAAAATATGGACTATTTACAATCATGTTAAAAATACCAACACCTTTATTACAGTAAGGAATACTCAGGCGTGGCAAGCGAAGAACTGTACAATAGTGCAATAAAGCACGAGATGTGAATAGATTATAAATATTGTTATTGTTGTAAATGCATGTATATGCRCAAGTGGCTTATGAAACATTTGTGAAATGATATTTTGGTTCTTTAATTTGGAGACATCAAATACTGAAAAATCCTTTAAGTCTATCATAAAGTACTTGAGCATATACATGAGATTATAACCTAACTTAACCAAGATAAGGATATAAATTTGTCTTAAAATAATAAAGACATTTTCAATACTCCTCCTTACTATTCCCAGTGCTATCTTTAAAGGTACCAATATCTTGTAATCAAGATTAAGGTTGGGCTTCCATGATAAAATAGTCTTYTTCACAACTAGGACAATTATTCCCTGGTCTTAATCATTCATCATTGGTGGAAGACTTCTCTTCAAGATAGTATTGGGAAGTAGAAGAATGAGCACTGCAAACAAATTACAAGACAGCCAACCGAAAAGCAAGCAAACTGCAAAAATAATGCAATTTCATATTGCCTTTCAAAGCAGAACTACTGTTTTCAGTAAAGAGTCTCATGTGACAATAAAATTAAAATTGACTTTCCGTATATTAAGAATTCAATTATGTTTCTGTGCATTAATCAATGTACATGTAATTTGAATCAAGAGAAACACTGTCAATAAAATCTTTCTAAGGCACACTGGATCTACACCAAGAAACCAGTGAAGACTTTGACAACAATGTTGCTCTACTAGTGTTAGGAATAAGTACAGAGCTGTAAAAAAGTATTTTGTATTGGAGTGAAACAGATAAAAAAGTATTTAGAATTATCTTAGGCTGCACATTCAGAGTGAAACTAAAACTAGTGAAATCATGAYGCAAATGGTATGCAGTACCAATTTCCTTTCAGCATAAGTATTGATCAGGTTAACTCAGCTTGTGGAAAGTAACTAAATAAGAATCTGATGAACAAAAAAAAGTCTCTTTGATAGCCTCGCATTGGGAGGAAGAAGAATTTGACAACTAACAACGTTAAAAGTTTGCAAGTTGACTATCCCTGAATTTTTCAATAATTATTGTGGATGAATTTTTCTCTAACAAAGTAAAATACCAACACTGTCAAGACCATGAGAAAATGGCAAAAATAAAACTCACTAAAATTCATTAAATGATGTACAGAAATTAACATGCTATATGATGTACTGATACTTTAGGTATATTTTAGCTATGTATGTGATTGCTACTTTTATATAATATTGCTTTTTACATTGTTGTATACACATATCACCGTTATATTGTACATTTTACTTTAAATATTATAAATTTTCATAATCTACAGGCAGCCACACCAGACAATGTGGGGTGGAAAATCTGACATCACTCTTCAAACAGTCAAAATCAACAATCACCATGACAAAAAACCTTGCAAACCCACTACACTACTGACTTTTGTGATATCTCAAAATAGTCTATAATAATATATATTGGCAATCAAACATGCTTTGTAAAAGCACATTTGAAATGCATTTTGTAAAAGAAAAAAAAAACAGCTTAAAGCAAGACAATGTATTTAAGTACCTTGGGAACTTTGTGTTAAACTGTTAGAATATTCACATAGCAATGGAGAATCTTAGACTATTAGCTTCTGAAGCAGCTGCATGACAAGTGAAACAACTTCCTCATGATTGGTGATGCACTGTATTAATATAGATTTCTATCCAAAAACTTTAGAAGTTAAGGGAGTCATTTGTTTATAATAGATGGCTAACATTTGATGTTGGCAGATAAGAAAGCCATGGTACTAAGACAAGAAGTCGTAAATTGAATAGTCTGGGAGGATGATTGATAATTTTGCATTAATCTTCATTCCATTTGGCAGGAGCAACATAAAGAATGAAAATGGATGTCTAGTTTGGAATTTGTCTTAATCCCAAGGCATTCTAGGTTTGATATGTAGCTAAGTTTCTATGATACACGGATGTCTAATCTTGTATTTACAGTAAGTCCCCCGTCACTTCCCTCACTGACAACACTTTCRTTGCTGCATAAGTCTTCAGACTCCCCACTTGCATAACCTGTTTCCTCRTCGTTTTCAACGTCTATCTCTTCACTTGTAGTTGAGTCACCTTCAGAACTTCTTGGTCGCTTTAATTCATTTCCACCTCGTAGCAGTAATAACTTACGTCTRAGAAACATCTGCTCTTGTGCTAATTTTCGTTTGTTTTCAATCGCTTCTTTCTCTGAGGCTTGTAAAACCTTTAATATGAAAGTTATAATACAATGTTGGATTATAAAAGCAAAGAATATTTAACATGAAACTTTACAAAATAAATTGTAATTTGGGAGAAAACGTTCTTATGWAATGTAGGCTTTTAGTATGAAATCAAGTCAATGTAGTTAAGAAAACTTGACTTGTGTACATGTGTGAGACAAATTGCTTCCAAACTTTGCATACTTGTAAGTGATAAATGTCAGTGAACTAGTATTTTAAGATAAGAATAAAAAGACAAGTTGAATGAAAAATATTGTTACTTTGAAATATGCTTTTTGTGGTTACTCCCGTCTTTTAGACGGGGAACCACTATGTTATCGGTTTGTAGGTCAGTAAGTTAACTATCACGTGACTTGAGACTTTCATGCCACTATACCCCCCTCCTGGGGATGAACATTCTGCATTGTGTCCCACCCTTCGAATCTGACCCCAGATTTGCCGCCTATAAAATTATACCTTACCCCGTCATGTCTATGCTTATCTGTTATGAGAAGCCGTCTCTTATATATGACGATTTTTTTGTATTTCCATCAATGTGGGCTTTCATCAATGCTTCGCTTCAATTTCATACGTCGAAAAATCGTACGCATATGCGCATTAGCTTCTTATTTGTTATGAACGATGACGCTGACCAAAAAGAACGATCTGACATGACGTAAGACGATGCCATGACAACTACGAAATGACGCTGGTCAAGAAAAACGCTGGCTCTCCAAACCACGAGGGATGTATATCGATTGAAGTCTTTCAAGTTCAAATCGGTAAGTAAGCCTTGTTTTTGCATTGTTTCTACTCTTTATATATCACAGCTTTCATTTTACAATTTCGATTGTAATAATGGAAGCTTTTTTTAGTGTTTTTGACATTTTAGGCCGATCTTTATGGCGGCATTACAAGATAAATCCACGTTCGATGGCGATGTTTCAGACCGACAGCGAGTGCAAAGACCTCTGCTCTTCCTTGATGCAAAGATCAAAAAAACAAACCAACTGCAAACAAACAGTGACTTTACGACAAAAACAGAACAAATACAAACTGACTAAGCTTT